ATTTCTTTCACTAACTATATACACATACACAAATATACATTATACATATTAAATTTTCCCTTGTTTTAAATTATTTATTGAGACTGATTCAGCAACTATGATTATTATTCTACTTAAAAATTAAATATAAATTAAGAAATTATACTTAAGACTTTAATATTTATAATTATTTAAAATGTTTGGCTTAAATTTATATAAGGAAAAAATAAATTGTTACTGTGCTTTTTCCGTTGAATGCATGTATGATAACTGATAAGGCTAAATTAATAGAGATTTTCCTGTGCTTCGATATATTTCGAGTATTTAATTAAAATGTTATTTATCATAAGGCTTTCGTATAATACTGTATTGATGATGAGGTAGGAATAGGTTAAACGGTTAAACGGTAATTTATTATTACCTACTTCTTTCTTCTTTTTATTTCTCTTTCAACGGAAAATAATTCCAATTTTTATTATTTTGTGAATTTCGTATTCTTTAATGGCTATAAGCCTATGTGCTTGTAAGTGATATGTTGTTCCAGTTTTACTTTCATACAGCAATTATATTAATAATATTTATATACCATTGAAGTTTATATTAGGTTCATTTTTGTGGAATATTGAAATAAGGTGACTTTGTTTGCTACTGAGTCTGCCATTTCGTTCCCGAGAAAGGAAATCCACATGAATGGTATTTGTAATTTATATTATAATGTTCTAAAGATACATTAATAATAATACAGAGCTCAAGTTAAAAAATATTAATGCTTTTTAAACGACAAATTTCAGCTATAATATACTACAACTAGACGTATTTATAAATTAAAGTTTTCATTTTATAGCTCTATAATTAGTTAAAAAACAACTCCATTGTAATTTTTAGACTCGTCAGTGTACCTATATTTGGATAATTATTCCCAAATACTTATTTAGTGATTTTACATAATTGTCAATTCCAATAACAAAGTTTATCATAATATTTATTGTTGTGCTTTGTTTTATGTTTACAGAACGAAAAAGCCAAATTTTATAAAATCGATAACCCTATGTGACTGTACTATATTTTATGAACCTTTATAAGTATTAAACTTTTTCATAAACAAATTAACTTTTGTTTTACAATGTATTCTAGTAATAAGTTTTGTTTATATATAATTTTAGTTATCAAATCATACATTATTGGGTTCAATGCTTAATTTAACATGACCACTTTTAAATCATAATCTAATAACAATTAAAGCTGTTTTCCATAATTTATAAAAAGAAATAAAGGTAAACAAATTCAAATAAAATTATAGTTACACATTTATTTAATTAAACACAATTTACTTCGCCAATATCCACAATTTTTTTTCTATTTCAAAAACTTTAATTCAAAAACTGTTTATTGTTTAAAATGTGTCAAGTCTAGTTATTAATAAAAAGAAAATTATATCATATTTTTTAAAAATTTAAGAAGTTTTAGAATTATTTTAAAGTAGATATGTACCTACCTATAAAATTTTTATATGTTTCACTAATAAGTAAATATATTTTGAAACCAATTCAAGTTTACTGAAAAAAAATTGTTTTTGTCTTAAGAAAATTATTGTTTTACAAAAATAGTCTATATTACCAGTTAATATATAAATATAATATTTATGTAATGTAGGTACTTAAAATATTTTAAACTGAAAATTTTTTTTACAAAAATTAATAAAAATATTTTTAATTTAATTTATATTAACAATAAATTATTCTTTTTTATATTTAAAATGAAGCCTTTCAAAATATTTATCTTGAGAGTAATTTGAAATATTATAGAAGTAAATATTCGGTTCTTGGAATGTAGCGTGAAAAAACCCTATCAAACAATATTGTAACAAATAAAAAAATAATTTTGAATTTCGCTTTTGGTATATTTCGATTTTAATCAAATTAGCATTAAATACCTATTCGTAACACAAAAAATAGGTTATTATTTTAGCTTAACAATACCGCAAAATTATTTTTATTTTTATTGCAGCATATTTGAATTTATACATTATGTGTTTTACTAATATAAAATATAATTTTCAGCAACATTTTGACTTTGTTTATTTTTTAAGTGTATTAAAACATACTATTAAAAACGAACTATATAAATGTTCATATGCAATCATTAATGTGCACTGCTTTAGTTAATTTGAAAGTTAAGAGCATATTAATGCCTTTTTAATTTATATAATTAAGTGAATGCACATTATTTATTCAATACAATTGATGATATCCAATTAACCCTAACATACATTAACGATTGCATATATTTAAATGCACGGTGTATAATTACCTCGCTGCCATGCACATCTAATATTTTCAGTGACATAAACAAAATATTCTGTAAATGTTTTCAGTTATTAATCATTTTTAGATGCTAAGTACTGAGTAAATATTAATTTATTATCAAAAACCAGTAACCAAATCAAAGTTGACAATCCATGAAAAATCAAAATATATTCATTTTTACCCATTTAAAAAATATCCAAAATATATGCTATAAATATTTTGTACAAATAATTAAGTGTAAAAATTACATTTTTAGTATCAGATAATTTAAATATGTCTTGAAAACTCGTTGGAAGCATACGATTTTCATGATTTTTTTATGAAAAGTATTTTAAGAAATACCCAAAAGTGATCTTTTTAAATTATAAACTATACTTAAACTTAATTAACATAATAAAGGCTATTTTTTTTTTTGACTTTATAATAAGGTTTTTATTATTTCCCACCACTTGAAAAGAAAAACATACACCCACAATTTTTCACAACCATTGATTAACAAATATATATCAATGATAATACAAAATGCTAATGATTTTTAACAACCTTATTCTTTTCATAGGAAATTTTTATGAAATAAAAGGACGTGACCAAACAGATTTTGTGTTATTTGTTTTCTTTGTAAAATATTCTATACGTTTTAGGCATTCAAAAATTCGAACACGACAATTATACATAATTTAAATTTATAAGCAGATCAAATATATATTGAAATACATGTTGTATAAGCAAAAGCAGTGTATTAATCCATATGTTATGCAAGAAGATACTTTCATGTCATTCTCAATAAAAGGGTGATTTTAATTAAAAAAAGGTTTTTTTTTTCATGTAATTAATCAAAATGTGTATTGTATACAAATACCTAGCTAATAATGGTAGAATGAGTAATACCTATTGTAGTTGAAACTCTAGCTTAACTAAAAAAAAAAAAAAAAAAAATGTAAAAAAAGGAATTTTACAGAAACAATATTATTAAAAGGAATATTAAAATTTTTAATTCTACATTTTTTTTCAATTTTTAATTTAAATCAACACATTTTTGTTGTTTAATCAGTTAAGAGCTAAATCATTGTCATAAAACTTGTTATAATTATCTCCCCAACTATTGGTAGTGAACAGTATTTTTTTTATAAATAGGAATTACTAAATCTTTAGGTAAAAATATTTTTTAAATTATCAAGATACATTTTTTATTCATGATAATTTATTAAAAATGCATGTTTATTCTTTTTTACCTTTGATAAATCAATGATTAATTTTTGAACAAAGAAATATCATTTTTTTTTTTTTTGAAGTGTCACAGACGACTTACTAATTTTACGTTGAATTTTAATCATAAATCATAAATAATAATAAATTACTTATTTTTGTTTAGATTTTAATAGATTTTATATATTTTTATAAATAAGACGCGAGCCGCTCAGACTAAATGAGAGCTACCAATTTAACTGCTCTTGTTATATTATTGTGAATTCTACTATACGTAATGATATTTTTGTTTTATTTTAAGATATTATCTATTTATACTATGAATCTATTTTAACTGTTGTACAAAATTTTTAGATAGATGTCATTAAATTTTTATTTTTATAATTTATAATGTAATATAAATACAATATATTATTAAAATGATTAATTACTAATAATATAATAAGAGCAATATCTTTGGTAAAAATTTATCAACATAGTATAATACTTAAAGTAAAATAGCTATTTATAGAAGAAAAAACATATCATGAAATATAGTTGGTAGTGATTTAAGCTTTCAGACCGTCTCCGCTCAGAATTGTTGTTCTACTCAATGATATAACAATGAATTCAAATTTAACACACCCGTAATAGTGATCCACTCGACATCTAATGTACAAAAGAGTGGTACCCAACTTTTTCTAAGTTAATATTAAAAGAAGTTATTTAACACTACTATATCTAATTAAAATATGTAATACATTGCATATAATATCTAGTTGAAGAACTTTAAAAATAAATGTTAGTAATAAATTTCTCTGTATTATAACATTCATATTATTAAAACGTTATATACGTATTATATAAATAGTATAAACAATTTATCTGTACAAACCTATATCATAATTTATATTATTATACATAACGTGAATACAAAATAAGTAATAACATACAGTGTAAACAATGTATAAACAACTCTCACAAGTCTGTTTTTTTGTTTCCCTCGCAGTTTTTATAAATAAATGTTAAGAGATACAGTACTTATAGTTCTATAGTTATTCATGTAAAATACTTTTTATAATTTTTAGATAAAAATAGCTTCGTATAAAATGTAATATTTCAAATGTGATTATATTAATTATCGCTTTAAGCTTTGAAAACTACCACTTCTATAGCTCAGCCCATATAATGATATCTAATAAATAAAGCGAAAAAAATTTAATTAAATCTATATTACAGGACTTTTGTACACAGCAATATTGTGATTATAAAATTATATAATCGTTAAAGTTTAATTAACTTAATTAATTACAAACTATATATTTTTATCCACATCAATAATTCAATGATTGCCTGTTATAAGCTTTTTTTTTTTTTTTACATTGATGTGTCTTATTACCTTCCGTGGCCGTTGACATTTAAAGTATAATTTAATTATAATTTAATTTATGAAATATTTAAATAATTTTCAATAATAAAAATAACTTCACAATATATAATTACTGTTTATTTTATACATATATTTTTCAGGCACTGTTGAAAACCAAATAAGTTGATGTCAAACATTCAATGTGGTCTTAAGATGAATCCTTATGAACGGAGAATACGCTCAGCCACAGCACATTTCAGATGCCATCTACCTAGGTGCTGCCATCGTACTGAGTATTATCGGAATAGTTGGATTTCTTTTCAACATCTGTGTTATTTTCATAATGATTAGAGATCCACGGGTAAATAATACAATTAGTCAAAAAGCAACCTATAAAAAAGAAAGATGATGTTTAAAATGATGTAATAATGATAGTAACATCGTCATATTGTATATTATATTATATACACGATGATATAGATACGTAAAACTTTAAAACATTAGTTATCCAAAACAGTATTCCTTGGAATGTCTATACTCACAACTTTATATTAATTTAATTAAACTTTAGTTATCTACCGCTTTCTAAATTTTAGTTTAATATAATGCATTTTTATCATAGTTCATGATTTACTTGAAAGTGTGTCTTTAAACAAATATTTATGTACAAACACTTGTATCAGATAGTTAGATACTTAGATATTTTAATTTAGAAATTTTTATTTATCGTGTACATTATTATCAACATTCAATTAATTTAAAAATTATTTATTTCCTTAGCTATGGACCCCTCAAAACATGATAATATTCAACTTAGCGACTTCCGACTTGGCCGTGTCTGTGTTGGGAAACCCAGTTACCTTGGCTGCTGCCATCACCAAAGGCTGGATTTTTGGTCAAACCATATGTGTTATCTATGGATTTTTTATGGCATTATTTGGTAATTATTAATAAATAATAATAAGTTTTTAATAATAAATAATATATAACACCGATATTGATTTATCCTTTATAAAAAGTTAAATATAATTAATATAAACGAAAACAAAAAATTATCGATGTAAAAATATGTTTGAAATGACGAATACTATAATAAAGTATTTTACTAATAGTTAGAATGTATTTAACGTCGTGGATAATAAAAATTACCGTTAATTTTAACCCTGTACACTCTTTTTTTTTTTGATATTGAAATTATTCAAAATCTAATTTTTAGAATTTTTAAATACATTCGAAGACTATATTTTTGAATAATTTTAATTTTAATTTTCAGTACCACTTAAGGATGGTCATATGGCAATAAAAACTTACGTTTTACTTTAAATTGTTTGGTAAATGAAAAAATTGTATGTATCTTAATGAAAATTCAAACGACTGGTTTCAATTATCTAGTAATTAAACTTTAAGTAGAAAGGATAATGATTTATGTTTAAACTCTAATGCCAACAATCGGTACGTTGTTTATGTTTACAAAATAAGTAGTTAGATAAGAGATTCGGCTCTCGAAAAATAGACAAAAACTATTAATCTTTACATTAAAAGTTTAATAATTCGAAAACCATTCTTTTTATTTTTATTTTGATACGTACATTTAAAAAAATAAATGATATTTGTTAATATTAAAATATTTCATTAACTATTTGTAAACATGACTCTTTGATTTTTTTCGATTAAATAGGTATTCTTATGTTACAAATAAATTTACATACAATCTGTAAAATATTACCATTATTTAATTTGTTGCATTTTTTTTTTTTTTACTTTATGTACTATTACATTTTTAATGAATATAAACAGAATACACGTAATTCATCGCTATTGGGATAATTTTTTATCGCTAATTAAATAGAATGGAGTACAATAGCACAATATATTTTAAAGAATTCCAAATAAACATAAACATCTAACATTTTTATGTCAAATAACACATATGTTATAAGTATTGCATTTTTTGAAATAAATAACAAAAAAATAAATATGTTGTATGTACTGAACACATTAAAAGTTATAAATTGAAATCTACAAAACTCCGCAATACTATAAATCTGAAAAAACCATTTTATTTTACATTAACAACAAATTAAAAAAATTAAATAAAAATGTTTGGCGATGACTGTATTTTAGATTGTGCACCCATATGAAGTAATTTTATTTTTTTACTTATACGTCGTAAGTGAGATGTCTGTTTTAATAAACCGTATGATTGCATCGTTCACTATTGAAAAAGCTTTCTGCACAAAAATGTCTAAACAATGAGAAACATTGAAATGAAGAATGTTTTGACTTTTGACAACTCGGTGGTTTTGATATATTTGCCATACGCCGTGACATAATGTCAGTGCACTTTTATGGTATTCTAACCAATATACATTTCCATAAATAAAATAAATATCTCCTGTGAATTATTGCTGTAAAATAAGTTTATTTTTCATAAGTAGGATATAAACTCGACGGTGTCGTAAACAAACGATACGAATGAGTAAGTGCACATTAATGTATAAACTTCGTACAAATTTGACAGGTGTGGTTGCATAGGAAATTCCCACGTAGTATATTGTTGTTGTTTAAACCTAAATTCCATTGCCTAGTACCCTAACGCTTACATGAATTTACAGTATTCTGTATTCAGTATAAAAATAGTGCACTACAATGTCATAAGACTTCTACTCTGCCAATAATACTCTTCTCCAAACTTGAGTGTTTGTAAATAACTGACTATTAGTTCTATATTATTTACATAGAAAAATATTGTTTTCCTTTACGATACAATTAAATCAAATCAATAATAATGGTTTTCAATTAAAAATGTAGTGTTAGTGTTACAATACCTTATTTACTCCTATATTACACACTTACTTTAAATTGTGTAGATTAATTTGTTTAAAAATCTTAAACAATAAACTAATAAACAATCGGATTCCTCTCAATGAAACAATTTCAAATCTAGAATATACATTTAAATATTAACATTATTTTTGCAAAATGTCAAGTGCACACCAAATTTCTTTGAAGTCTGAAGATGAGTATTATCTGATTGTATAAGGAATTAACAATACATTATTCCTAGGCCCTATAGTTTTCGAATCAACTACTTTTAAAGTGAAAATACTTGAATGTAAAGTCTATACATAATAAATATTTTAATAAAATAAAATAATGAAAAAGTTATCAAAGTTATTTACATATTTACATAACTCTTTAACTTACATGAGTAACGTTATATAATACATTCAAATATTATAACATATAACCACTGAAATACAAGAGTAATTAAATAAATTAATAAAATCTTGATAAAAATAAAATTTATAATTACATATATATTACTTATTACTTTTTATCTATTAAAAAAAAAAAAAAATAGTTTAAATACTTGAACTTCGAGTAAGTACATACACATAAAATAACTGAATAGTCAACACGAATTATCACAACAATAGAAAATAATTCATAATATCAATTAAATAATGGTTTATGTATTTTAATATAATATAAAGTACTTGTATTATAAAGGGAGAAAATAATATTATTTTTTATCTTGTGTTACCATTTTTCATTAATCTTAATATAGTGGGTGGGAATTGTAAGTCCTCAGATTGAATTATGTACCTGGTATCAAACTCGTTAAACGGGGCCTTGTATAGCAACAATAAACAAACTAAGTGTTGCACAATGATTTGCAGCATTGACCTAGTAGTTTTTTTTTTACGTTTTAGTTAATAATTTAATTTTATAGATTTTCACCCTTCTCTAACTTTTTACTATATGGTTAACGTAAATAAATTTAAAGTTATTATACAAACATGTATTTTTATATTTATTAAAATATGAATTCTTATTACGTACGTTGTTCATAGTAGTACAGAAACAAATTGTGTTTTTATGAAATTTTTTACTAAAACTGAATGGCAAATGCGTAGTATAAATAATGGTTTCTTTATGTAAATGTCTTAAAAATTCCTGTAAAATAAAAAAAATAAATGATTTATTACTAATTTAATACCTAACCTAATATTTTATAGTAAATTGATAACTTTTAAATTATATTTAGTAAAAAAATGTTGTTTTATATTTCGACATAAATAACACTTTTTTAATATAGATTTTTTTTATAATAAAATTAGTTATTGAAGTCATGTTGGTTTAAATTTTTCATATTTCTAAGTTTACTGACACTTTATATTTTTTTTATCAGGGATAGCTTCAATAACAACTTTAACTGTGTTGGCATACGATCGGTATTTAATGATACGCTATCCGTTTAGCAGCAGCAGGTTAACTAAGGAAACTGCACTGTACGCAGTAGTTGGAATATGGATATATGCGTTTGCTGTAACAGGACCTCCGTTGTTTGGATGGAATCGTTACGTCAACGAATCTGCAAACATCAGGTAATACTGAAACTGACAATGACGAAACTCGTGGCAAAATATTATTTATAGAAAATCGACGATGATTGTCACAGAAACCCATTAATTTTGATCATAATAATTACATTAATTTGTGCTATAATAATACTTGAAAATATAAACGAAATATATAAATATATATAAACGAAATACATAAATATTTATAAACGAAATATAAACGTTTCATTTTATTCAACCGAGAAATTCATAAAAATACGAAATTAGATATTAGAGTTAAAATAAAAATTGATAGTAAATCTAATTTCAAATCCTTTGATAACGGCCTATTTTTGATCAGTGAAAAACGTAAAAATATAGTAAATACCGTAACTTCTCAGTGACTGGCTGCTGCCGCTTAGTCGAGAAATTATTTTTATTCGTCGATAGAAATTTATGTTAAACAATATTTCAACACGGTAAAATATCATTCCAAAAGTCAGTTAAAAAAAAAAAAAGAATTTAAATATTTTTTACATGATTTGAATACAATAAATATTAACAGGTACACCTTAACTATTGTTAAAAACTATCAAAAAAATGATATTTGGTATATACGAGTACCACGATATTATACTCGTGGTATAATTTTTAAATAAATTCTAGTCACTTCAATGTAGGCATAGTATAAACTACTGTCATCGTTTGTTTTTATAGTTAATAGTTATGCATACAAAATAAAATATGTAATGTAAATTAATAATATTTACTTAGCTTAATGCCAAACAAAAAAGTGTGCGTATTTTAAGACCAATTTAAAATAAAATTCAACTCTCGATATCATAATTCATAATAATTCTATTCTATGTTTAAACAAATGATAAATATAAATAATTCAAAATTCATAATTTTCATATTTTATTATATTCGTGGTTAATCTCTCATAATAAATAATAATTCATAATTTCCATAATTATTAATTCATTATGATATTCATAATCCGTATTTATAATTCTGTACTACGTTCAAAATAATAAAAAATATGATTATAATTAATATTTTTTATGCTAAGTGTTTGTCCATATGACGGAACTAGTTCCGTTTTGTGTATTTTAGGTATCCATTTCACAAAATGTTGTCCATATAGCAAAATTACGCGAAGTGGAAAAAAAAGCGTTTCCACTTCGCGAAATGGATATAAACTTTGTCCATTTCGCGAAACGTACAATTATGCGATATGGATGCGACATATGTATATAAACAGTTAAAACGCATTAATCATTATCTATAAAGGTATTTAAGTTAACAAAAATATTAAAAATTGTACTTCATAAGACTTAAAATGTTTGATATCATTTAAAAAAGTAAAAACTCAAAAGAATTTGTTTTGTTTTTTCAATGACTACATTAAAAAAATAACGTAAAAACGTAAATAATGTTGCCGATATACGCAGTTAATTATACTTAGTTATGTATTCTAATTATTATAAATTGTTAATTTAGTAAAGTTGATTAATATTTTCTAGTTGTTCAGTAGACTGGGAGAGTGGCGAACATAGCAATTATGTTATATACATATTTGTTTTTGGACTATTTCTACCAGTTACTGTGATTATCTATTCATATGTGAACCTCGTCATTACAGTGAGAAAGGTAAAAAATCAAGATTTTTTGATAAATATTATGAATTAAAGTACCTTTATAATATATATAATATGTGCGTATTGTATAAAAATACATATGTTTTTATCTAATTTGAATTTTGTTCCAAATTATTTAATTTCATAAATAAACTTAGTTGTTTCCATCTATAGATAGAATATAATACACTACACAAAATTATAATTTTATAAAATATCGGCAAGTTTGATAACTATGTAACTAAATAACTTACTCAGAACGCCGTGTGATCATAATAATTTTGCATAAAATTCAAAAAACTCATTTATTGTGAAATACCAATAAAATAGTTCCACTGACATAGTACAAATACAAACGCAAAAAAGGCAAAATCACGTCAAAAACCTACACTAGAAAGAGTTAATTTTCGAATCGTTAAATAAAGCATTTTACATATTATAATGAAAAAAATATAATCATACTTACTATGACATATGTAATAATGTATGTATTGAGGGGCACTAGTGCTTATAAAAAAAACAGGGCATCATGAAAATTATAACTCTAACATCATTTTGGATATCTGACATTTCGGGAGGGACTTAAGCCCGTTAAGCCTCACTAGATACAGCTATTACATGTAATCCATGTCAATATATGTAGCGAAATATATTTAACTTAAATTGATGACTGATATTAACTCAAAAGTGAACTAAATGTGACAATGAACAAAAAGTACTTTGTAGTAAACGCAAAAATTAAATAAAAAAACAATTGTATAGTTTTTGATAAACAGAATTATAATCAAAGCACAAATTATACTTAAGTACTGAATTTTGTATGGTTTTTTTTTTTTTTAAATGCCTTAAATTAATTTTTCACTAAACTTAAAAAAAAATGTTTAAAAATATAATGCAAAGTATAAAATCTTAAAATTGTTTTTATAATATTATTTCTTTTAAATGATTTCCTCTTAATAACCGAAATATAAACACTATGTAATACTATAGTATACGATTGTAAAACAAACTGAAATAATAAATTTATACTGTCTCAATTATTTTTTTTGTATATAGTTTCTAAGATACACAAATATCGTATACCATGTATGGTGGAGATGTGAACCTATGGCACACGTATCACTCCGAGCGACGCGTACGCTTTTTTAGTGACACGTGTGACTGTCCAAAAAAAGATCATTTGTAGGAATTTTTCAAGTTTAACAAGAAAAACAGTTATCGAGTTAGATAAGGTCACACGATCGTTTGGTTGACGGATGTTAAACGAACGTTATTTTTTAGTCACACACGGTTAGGGACAACATCAGTTTCCATCGAAATAGATAACGAAGAGAGCGATTTTCACTTATGATTTTCGTATGCTGTTTTGAAAGTTATTCGGAAAAAAATAACAAGGGCAAAGTAAATGGTGGGCGCGACTGATTAATAGTGAAAGACCAATGTATATAGTGATTTTTACAATCTTCACAGTCATCAGCGAGCTGATAACGTAATTTTTTTCTAATTGTTTTCGTATGTCTTTAACATAATTTGATGAACTTTTTGTCAAAATTAAACGCCAAGATACAAATATAAGATCTTCGATACCACCCGAAGAAATACTGATTGTTAATCTAAAGTAAGTAAAAAAAAGTCTTCAGTTACTATTAATAATTATTAATCATTCATATTATAACATTAGCATAAATTTACATATTAATTAATAAAAATAAATATACTGTCTTATTTATTATTATTATTGCAATATTTAAGACGATGCATAAATAAGTTATAAATAAAAATATTAATTAAATTGAAATAATTTAAAATGTAAGCAAATTACTTATTTTTACAACTTTTGAAAATACGAAAAAAAAAATGAATAAATGAATATTACTGAAAATCATTAGCAAATCCATTAGTTGTTGACTGATTTGATAGCGAGCTTCAATATTCTGATGAAAACTTTGTGAAATATGTCTGTATAGAATTAAAAGAGGATGCTAAGTGAGAATAAATAAAAAATATACTTATACTTTCAAAAATGTATTATTTTTTTTTTAGATACTTGGGAAGTACAAACAACCTTCATGGTTTACATTATGCATATATGAATGATCAGTCTACTTTAAGAAAGATAGTGCGTACAGTTTGCTAAAACATTTGGGAAGTTATAACAAAAGAACATAATATGTTATGTTTACACCGAATGAAGAAAATCGGAGAACCATAGCAGAAGGTTTTCAACATCAAGCAAATTTTCTACACTATCTCGGAGCAATTGATAGAAAGCATATACAGATAATCAAGCCTGCAGGGATTAATTTGTTGAAGTTTAATTACAAACATTTTTACTCGATTGTTTTACTCGCAGTAATTGAATAAAATTACCATTTTATCTTTTTTTTTTTATGTTGGTTTATTTGGAAAAAACTCTGATTCTACCATTTTTTTGTATTTTAGTCTATGGAATAAATTACGAAATAATTTTTTAAATATTTCTAGTCCAAATTCCGCACCAAGTATTAATATTCCTGTTCTTTATGCATTAATGGGAGAGACCGCATTTGGATTATTAACAAACGTGCTTAGGTCTTCTCGGTAAAATATTTACAAGACAATAAAACAACTTTTAACAATAAATTATCTCGGACAAGACGTTACGTAGAATTTTGATGTTAATGCAGATTTTACTATTAAGGGGTTTTCAACCAGCTGTGATTTCTACCAAAATATACCTATATTTTGACAACTGTACTGACTGTTCTAGTAATTGGAATCAAATTCCGAAAACATATTTGAAGTCGTCGTGAAGTTTACTTGAAAACGACTTTTTGACTTTTAAAATTAAAATATCAATAAAAGCCTATGTAATAGTATAGAAAAATTCTTATCTTTAAGTTTGGTATTAGGTAAATTTACTCTAATATTAAAGCCAACAACATAAAATAGATTCTGCTAAACAAAAATTTGCTATGTTGTATGTATGTAGGACGGAGATAATACACATGGGTATGGCGTCCTCTTAAATATTATTAAGTATTGTTGTTTGTTACATAATTTTATACGTAGCCATGATAGTTTGAAGTTTGAAGATACTTTGACTATTATATAGGATTGGAAAAAGTTGAACACATAATAATAATTTACACATAAACAAATTGTAAATAGATAACGGGACGTTTTAGTTAACTGTTTTGTTTCTGAACATAGACAATTCTTGGTAAAATTAAAACTTAAAACATTTTTTTTTATTGTTCTAAGAAAAAATTCCTGAAATTCAAATTATATAGGCAATGTTAAAAATATTTTATATATCCAACAATTTATATATATATATTTTAATCGTGTCGTGAAAGAGCTATTTTCAATAATTAGACAAGTGCTATAAGACAAATTTTAATTAATTAACAGAACCAAGCTTCATTTTATTTATTTCGATCGTTTTTCAGATTCATCAAATGTGTCCCGTAGTCGTTTTTCAATTTCGGTTATACATTTTTTTAGTTTCCATATTCGTATTATAAACAGTTTAAAAAATATATATATAATTATACCACCTTCGACTTAAAAATATGCACTAAATGCACAAATACGGAGTTGAAATAACGTTCGTCTGATTTTGTTAATTGAATCTAATGATAATCTTAGGTTCTGATAAGCAAATTATAAAAGACGTTTCAGCATACCTCATGATGAGGTCCTCATCACTGTCTAGTCTTCAGTCGTCATCGTCGAACGGACGGTAAATCCAACAGAGTACGGACATCGTGTTATGTGTGATTGTTGGGTATAATAATTAGAATACGTACGTATATTATTTGTTCAACAACGACGACGTCTGTCAACGAAACGCTCGTGTGACCTTAGTTAGCAAACCTTTGTTAGCCTTATAGTGGACGCGCAGGGAAAATAAAATTCAATCAAGTTGACACTCGGGTACGAAAATGTTATTCACCTGCACTCCTGACGTACTTAATGTGTTCAATCGATTCTAATAGGTATACGTCAAACCGATCGATCGGATTTCAAAATAATAATGTTTTTAATGTTGTTGTTTCGTCATAATAAATTCAAATATTATCGTGTACACTTGTTTCAGTCTAGTCAAAACGTATATATTGTGTAGTATAGTAAAGACGAAAAGACAAATTGTAAAAAAAAAAAAATTCGAGATTACGCCGCTGGCGCGAAAAATAACGTTAAAATGTTTTTCGCGTTCAACAGAGAGCTGCTGAAAAAATCATCGGACAAGCCACCAAAGCGGAATGCAGGGTAGCCATTATGGTGGCGGTGATGATATTGGCGTTTTTAACTGCGTGGATGCCGTACTCGGTGCTAGCTCTCATGATTGCATTCGGCGACGTCCACATCAGTCCGGTGGTCAGTATAATACCGGCTTTATGTGCCAAGTCGAGCATATGCTGGAATCCAATTATCTACATTGGACTCAATACGCAGGTAAAAAAAATCTATACCAACATTATTGTTGTGTATCTCATATTTTAAACGTAAACCAGAGAATACCCGTGGTAAAAAAAATATCCGAGAGAAGGGAATATCCGTTGAATAATAATAATAAATAATACTCCGAAAGACCTGCAATGAGCTGAGGGAATAATGTAAAATTAATTATCGCGTTGTAGCGACGTTTGACATTTAGCCATAAAGGTAAACACTTAACACAATCACGTCTGCGACAATATTATACTATAGACAATCAATAATAATCATTAATCAACAATGTTTTTTTAAACATATTACATGTAGACGAAAATAATTGGAACGTATACCGGGAAGCATATTGTGGGTTTTTGGGCAAAAATTGAATCAACCTACCCTTAAGGTAACATTAGGGTTAATGCTATCGTATTAGCGATGGTAAAATAGATTACTATAATAACAATATCAAAATCAAAATAATAATAATAATAAATAAGTGATGGATGTCACTTTTCTGTACATTAGAAATGTTAAATTTTTATTTATCAATGTGCACAATGTATATACGATCAACGATTCTAAACGGAAACGATCTATCAGGTTATGTCACTAAGATTACTTTATGATAATATGTTTTTTAATATAGGTATTCAAGTAATTAGTTTATTGTTTAATATTACGATAGGTTAACAAATTTTGTAAAAGTTCTAAAATTAAATGCTTATAAAAAAACATTGTGACCATAAATTTTTGATATTTTTTAATAGAAAAATGAACCATTTATTAGTAATCTTGTATTCAATTTTCAAACATTTTTACCCTTTTATAAATTTTTTATCGATAGGTAGGTACTTATAAAAAAAAAAAATAAAAAATGTAAATTGTCTATAAATAGATCAAGAAATATACAAAAATATTTTAAAATTATACAACATATAGAAAATATCAATACAAACACTTTTTGACAATTTAAAGTTTATGTATAGTAATTGGTTTTTGAACTGTTGCAAAATAAAGTAATTAATTTAATCAAAAACTGGTTTATTGTAAACATTTTCGTTTTTCCTTATTTTTTGTTATTTTTTTTCGATTATAAAGTAAAGTACTGAGAAATTTTACTTTTCTAAAGTACAAATTTAATTTAATTTATTATCCAAAACCTCCTTCAAAGTTAAAAATTGAAACATTTTTTTGATTATCGCGCACACAAACACACATCATTATGAAATTAATACATTCATCACTCCGTTCAGAATCTAAAACATATCATGAAATATATTTAGTGATCTCTAGGCTGCAAACTATCTCCGCTTAGAATTGTTTACAATGCTATTGAATTAAACTTGAAAGTTTAACACATCCATTACTGTGACCTGTAATTCGACATTCTATTAAACAGCAGAACGGTACCCATTTACTTACCTTTTTTGAATAAAATATTATAATAATGTGAAATTGAAAGTAGGGCGTAGAATGCGTACTCAGTCACTTTTATAATCATAATATATTTAAGTATCTATACAGTATACACGTCTTAATACCTCCCTCAATTCCCTAGTTAACTATATTATCAACGATGCAGAATATTTACGTATAGGTAAAACTAAAATGTATTAATATTTATACTATATATTTCATTTTTTCGATAATAATTATGGTTATTGGAATAATAATATACTATATTATATTATCTACGATTACAATTGCTGTGACCAATCAGCATCAGTCCTATTAATAACTAAAATAATAAAGTTTGTTATTAGCAAAATAGTCAACTTTTAATGTTAATTATTAATATTAAGCACATTCATAATTGTGTTGATTGTAATATCGATACTATAATATGACACCTATAATGCTACTCGTATTTCGACAATAAGACGCAATAATTTACTAACCTATATAATATATAACTTATAAGTACATAACTACTCATATATACATAATTTATATTAATAATTTAGTATTTTTATTTTTACAAGGTACAACAAAATAATATTGGTTGTAAATAAAAATATATTCTGTTAAAAAAGAAGGAAACATTTTTTACAGAGTTTCATATTGTACTTACTACAATCTTAGTAGGATGATTTTATTTCATTCCACGCATATTAACAACTAAAAGTCACAATAATATTTTTTTAGTTATTATTATGGGTTTAGTATAATAAAAATTAAAAAAAAAAACTATATAAGATACACTATAATAACAAAAATATTCATAAACAAAGTCTCTCTTAAGCTTTAACTAAAAATTACAAATAATATTTAAACGGTGTATTTTAATTCAAGATTTAATAACCAATAATCTAACATGGTTGTTGAAATTTTAATAAAAAGGAGAAAAAAAATATTAACAAAAGAATAAAATTTAAAATCAAAACTAAGATATGAAATTATTTGTCATATCTTTAGAAATAAAAATGTAATAAAACACTTTATAATACATAATATATATGAATACAACACTCACCACTCTCTCCAACGCTGAAAACTTTCACAATTGACAATTTAATTTATTATAATTTCCACTACTACAAGATCCTATATATTATTGATCGGTTAAGTACAAATAATAAATAAAAATAAAAATAAATAGATATATGTACAAATAGAGTTGTTTCACAAAAAATGCCTATTTAATTTTTGGGAATGACATTTTTTTTATAATGAATAGAAAAAATGTGATATTTTCAATAATTATTATTATAAGTATTAAACAAAAAATAAATATATTTTCGTTTATGTGTCAAACTTTATAATGCCAGATAGCTTAAAGGCACAGGGTTAAATTATATTTAAAAGTTTTAAAAGAAGAAAATACTTTTCATAAATTAATATTTCTCTCGTGTTTTGTGGATAGTAAAGCGCTGTGTGTAGGACTATAGGAGGCAGGCCAAGGAAAATAAAAAAGAGAACAATATAACTGGATTAAAGGGACTATAGAGCTTTTATTGAATTTGTTTGACTATCGTATTTTTTCTGTTTGATTATTTCTATTTCTGAAAAATAATTTAAATAGAATAAAAATATGTATAGTTTTCTTTTTATTAAATGCATTACTGTTTTAGTAATAAATGTTATCTCTGTATGCACTTAGTAGGTACTTGGGAAAAAATTACGAATGATAGACAATAAACCACGAGAACAATTATTATTTTACGCCTATAGTATTTTATTTACTAACTATTGATTATGTCACCAATAGCTAGTTAAAAAAGTAAAAAATAAATATTCGTACGTGTTTATGGCACTTTCGGTTTAAATATAATGTATTAGATTTTATCTCTCGGACGTATTATGGCCGTATCGTTTTAAAATTGTCGTTTACGAACTGACAATGCATTGTATTGTTGTAACGCAATTATTACGGTTTCATTTCAGTTCCGGTCGGCGTGGAAACGGTTCCTGAAAATCCCGGGTACGGTGTCGGAAGTCTCACTCGACGCTGACATCACTACGGGCATGACCAAGCTGATGACCGGTCACCAAGAGCTGCCAGTGCATCCCGCAAACAATAGAGACGCCGACCATCCGCCGGGCCTGATAATGTGCTGTTTGGCGCACAACGAACACCGACGGTCCGCGACGTACGCCGACCAGTACGAGTGCAATCTCGAAATGAAGTTATGCAATCCACAAACTCTTGACAAACAGACCGAAACGAACCTCGGCGACGTTTCATTGTGAACGTAATAATAGTACCTATAAAAATTCAAAGTACCGCAACAACCGTTTACAAAATATATATATACTATATAGTTTCATAATGCATTCTAAATTGGCTTCGAATTGGTAATACAGTGAATTCCGCTTAATGTGGGCACGTTGGGACCAGCCCTGTTTGCCCACATTAAGCGGTTGCCCATAAAAACCGAAATTAGTAAAAAAAAAAAAAAAATTATAATAAAAAAATATATTTGTATTATCATATAATTGAAAAAAATTTTAAATAATTACTAGATATATAAATAAAACTAAATACATATAATATATTAAATAAAATTAATCTTTGGATGTAGGAGGTATACAAAACGTTGTAATTTTTCGTTGTCTAAGCTGTTTAGTATGGATCTGGTTGACAAAATAGGCACACGCTTCAAGTTTATCAGACGGACTATTTTCGTTTCCTTCTTGCATGAAGAACTTCTGCAAGAAATCAATGCACTTTTTCGCCTCTCTTTGGCGAAATTTGTTTATTTGAATGGTAATGATTTTTATTACTTTCGATAAACACAATCTCATAGATACGACGGAACCCGATTAAATTAATCGTTTTTAAATACTTATGTGTATATTCTAACGCTATGATAAAAAAAAATTGCCCACATAAACCGAATCGAGTGTCCATATTACGCGGTTTTATTTGACATTGTTAATATACATTTGTATTGGGACCAGACATGTTTGCCCACAATAAGCGGATGCCCATATTAACCGGTGGCCACATTAAGCGGAATCCACTGTATATTATATTATATAGCGTGTGTTTTTTGACATTTTTAATGTCTATGATTAATTCAAAAACACTAACAAAAATTAAATTAAAAAAAAAAAAAAAAAAAAAAAAAAGAACAGGACAATTTGTTATTGCAACGCACGGTTCGTAGCTCTATTAAAATATGATACAATGTAGTTTTTATTTGCAAACATGCATCGACATTGTTCTACAAATATATAGGTACTATAGTGGCGAATATAGGGATATGAGTGGCTGGAACATTACCCATAGTCAATAGGCCATAGTGAAAATAATGAATTCCTAGGTACGACACTGATCAATACCCACCTAATATCATACCAATTTACCATGTTCCTCTTTCGTTTTCAACACAAAGTGTATCGTCAAGACATTACATTATTATTTGATATGGTTTCGGGTTCGCTTACGTGTCTCTATTCAGTAGTATCAGGCTGTTTCACACTTTAATTTGCGACAGCGTTTTGTAAAATACGTTTTTTTAATGATGTTTATGATCGTTAAAACATTTTTATTTCAAAAGACTACAATTTAAATTTGAATACATTAAAACCCACCGCAGCCCATATACTTATATTTATACATAGCAAATGATATAACGATTTCGTGGAATCGTATCAACTATTTAATTGCAAATATGTTACAACTGAAGCTTAAATGGTATAAAGCCGTATAGGTGCAACTCTGAAAATAAACTGTAGCTTTTCAGCACCTCAATTGAATCAATTATTTCAGAAACCCGTTGAGTGCAAATTTTAAAATTCCCAATTTGCCGCAGAAAGCCATCAAATGCCATTCATTAACCAGTTTCTGAACTTAACACATTATTTGACCGAAAATTAAACAGCCATAGATTCTCGATACTTGACGGGTTTTTGCACTAAGCGAAGTGTTTTATTTCATAAAACAATAATCTGAACCTGACACATTTTTCATCATTTTGGCGTTTGACGGGTTTCTGAAATAATCGCTTCAATTATTAGTAAAGGTACCTAATAAATATAATATGTACCACTTATCATCTATTGGCTATTATTATTATTGACGTCGTGTTTAATGTGTTTAACACGCCTAAACAATAAATCCATTACCCGCCCAACTGATAAAATTACTTACCGATTAACTCAAATCTGCAAAATGACTTCTATAAAATAACAATGACGTAGGTATCCATTACAGTTTCAAATATTCAATCTGCACCTGTCGACGAGAACTTTTCAAGTCTCAGATGGGATAAATGTAAAAATATAAATGTTACTAAAATATTATTATTTATCAAAGACTAGAGTATATAATATTATATTCTACAATCTATGATTTAATTGCCTACCTATATCACTTTGATGTCGTAGTTGCCATACAGTTAGGTCGGTATGTAGATTATACTTACAAATTAAGGCATTGATTAAGTACCTATATTATATTTTTTTCAAGCAACGTATATCAAAAATAAAAATATTTACTTAATCATAATATATTATTATTTGGACAACTAATAGTCTCCGTTAGAATTTATAATATTTTTAATTAAATGTGTACCTACCTATACCTATGTTCAATTAAATAAAGCGATGGTTAGTACAAAACTAAAAACGCTCTAAAAATTATTACCTAATTATTGTTAATTGTTATCATATGTATCATACTGACGGAACTTGCAGTACTTGCACACTGTAACTTTTAAAATTTGTTATTTTCAAAAATATATAATTATTAGATTATACAAGTATATATTTATGCAAATATGAGTATTGTAAAATAGTTTGACATCGGTTTAAATAATAATAATAATAATAATAATACATTTACTTATCAAATTTTGTGCACCTTATTGCAATGATAACTAAATAATAATACCATAACCCATTGGTAGGTATTTATAATTTAAAACACGAATTTGCATAACTTATTTTACATTTTGTACATAATATACACACACACAGACACACTATATCAATTCGAATTAAAATATAAGACATCAGAACAAAATACAATTTTATTATCACTGCAAATATATGAACATATAGAATTATGTATATGATTTGAAAAATTGGTACCGACCTTACTCGAATGCAAACGATTATATTATACTGTTCAAGATTGAACTGTACCTACGTAATACGTATAATGATTTCAGAAATTTCTATTCAGAGATTCAAAATTAATTCCTTTCGAATCAATTTCAGGTATTTAACTAAAATTATATAATGTATTTTTCTGGTTTGTTTATAATTAATATTGAGTTCAAAACAAATTGTACTACCTTTGGACGATCAACTATTAATTTATTAAAATTAAATTTTATTAACTTTATCGACTATTAATTTCTGAAATAAAATTCACGAGAAACCTTCCATGTTATTTGTAGAGACTATTTGTATTAGACTACAGAAAACGAGAGAACCACAAACTAATGGCTATATGACTTATGAATTGTGATATTAATTATTAATACCTAAACGTATGGGAAATTAGGAGCCAACGCTAATGAGTAATGGTAGGTTACCTACCTATTTATAATTACTGCAGTCACCGCTGACATCAAACGAAACCGAAACTATGAACAAAACCATCTTTTTTACATTATGCTACCATGTACGTAGGTATTGAAATAGAATAATCAATATTTTGAGTACATCGAATTAGGAAATGTTGCATGTCAAAGATACTTTTTACTTTTTTTTTCGTCGTAAAAATAAAATGAATAATTTACTTGATTTAAAATTTTAAAATTTAAAACTAAAAAAACTAAATAAATATCTTTATTAATATATTATACTTGTTTTATCTACACCTATCAATATATTAACTATTTTTCTTTTTTTTTTTGAAATGAAATTTTTTAAAAGAGAACAATATGTTTACAGTAGGTACCTATAAGAATATTTTGCACATTTTATCTTGAAAACGAAAAATCAGTTTAAAAGCCTAATTAAAATGTATTTTTTTATACCTAACGTAAGGTGGATATTTTAATTTACTTTTTTACAATATATGGTTCAATAATGTCGATTAGTACCTAGACAGTAAATACATTAAATTTAAAAAACCTACGTTTAGTTAATATATATTTATATACTAATTTTTATAGATTATATTACTATATAAATATTTTTTTCCCATTACTTCAACTCTACTCACTTCCCTAAATAAATACACATAATAATTTAAATTTAATTCTTTAAAAATATATTACGTTCAGAGGTATAATTTTTTATTACTCACCTTTTATCAATAATATTTTTGATTGATACTTATAATTTTTTTATATTCCTTTTCAATAATAACTTTTTTGTGTTATTAACAAGTCTTGTAGGTAGGTGTACTAAGTAGGTAGGCGCTTATTATGATCTTTGGTGGAACAAAACATTTATAAAATATTGTATATTATAATGTATTATAGATGAGTAAAAATGTTTGACATATTTTTAAAATTAAAACCGACGATTTAATGATGTAATAAATTAATATTTTCATTTTCACTGAATTGAAGAGTTCTGGGTACCTACTCAAATTAATTATTACTCATTATTGTCCAATGAAATGAACGGTGTTATTAATTTATCAATTAAAATTAGATACGTACGATATTGATATCATAAACTTAACCTATATAGTAACATTGTTTTGTGTATACCTATACGTTGTAATAAGTAATTTATATAAAATATTATATACTTATTAATAATGAGCGATGTATTTTAATGCTTTATTATTAATATTTTTTTTATTTTTTGGAAAAGACATGGTAGAAACCTAAGAAAATGAAATTTAAGAAATGGAAAAATATTTTGATTTAATAAATTAACTACCGTGTACACCTATATTTTAATGAAAAATAAATAATTATTTCCATATTTAATAGGTACCTATATTTGATAATTATTTTTCGTGTTATTTATTGACTAACCTACTACCTACAATAATATATTAGTAAACTCAATAGGTACTAGGGGAGAATCCAGGGGAAGAAAGGGGGTATGCCCCGCTCCAAATTAAATTAAAAAAATATATTATCGGGCCTAGCTTTTTTTTTATCTGATGACTTTTTTTGTTTTCTATGCGCCTCCCCCCTCTTGGAAAATTTCTGGATTTGCCCCTGATAAGTATCTATATATTTTGTAAGTACATATTCTGTATGACTGTGTATCTATGTACTACATAGTTACCTATTTTTAAGTAATAACCACAGGCCATATCTGTTTGAAATTGTACTTGAGTGTGTTAATAGACAATACCTAACTATTTGAAAAAAATTAGATACCTACCAACAATTTGTTTAATATGCAGGTCAGTAATATACTAATATTTTTTCAACACATACCTACCTAACCATAATCGTCGAGATAAAAATAGTAACAGGCTAAAATCTTTT